TCAGTTTTACCCTTTTCCCTTTCCTCTTGAAGCTTCTGTCTCTCTCTGCATCTGAAAATTTTTAACCTGTTCTCTCTTGAAAGCTCGGGGGTCTCGCTCTCTGGGATTGTCTACAAAGACACCATTATAAATTCCACTCATTACAATACCTAAACCAGAAGAAGATAGAAAAGTGAGATAATTTGAAGGTAAGATATCATTAAAATAGCTGAACCATAAAATCCAAACAAACCAATTTTTAAGAAAAAATTATTTTCACCCAATACAACTTCTGTTATTATTTTTTTTATAGGGGTGTGGTTTGTATAGGGCTGAGGCCCCAAATAATCAAAGTAAGGCCCACCTTTAAATAGTGTTAGAATACATCTTTTATTTTATTTTTTAGAAGGGTGTGGTTTGTATAGGGCTGAGGCCCCAAATAATCAAAGTAACGTGCATCTTTAAATAGTATTAGAATATATTTTCCGGTACTAGAAATCTTTGTTATGGCTTGAAACTTTATTTTATACCTAGATATAGAATTTTAAACTTTAAAAAATAGTATAGATCAAGCAAATCTCTGAACACTTGAAAACTCTTGAAAATTGACGGTTCAAAAATACATTACAAGATGGACTATTTCTAAGACTTGAAATCTATTTTTTTTCCCATGTCCATACATCTTGAGGTTGAGATAATTCATTTGAAACTTTTTGGGCATCAAAATAACATTTTTTAGTTGATTTTTTAGGTGTGCCTTAATGCAATTGTTTAGAGTCTCGCCCTTATATAAATTTTTTTCTTTTTATAAAGGAAAAAGTTTATACAACCTTAAAATGTAGAACTACAATGCACCTCAAAAATCTATCAGAAAATGTTGTTTTAATGTTGAAAAACACTCTAATTGATCACCTTGACATCGAGAAATATGGCTATGAAAATTAAAAGAATTTTGAGTCTTAAAAATAGTACATCTTACAACACTTTATCTAGATCGTACATTTTCAAGATTTCCATATGTTTATAGATCTACTTGATTTTAACTATTTTTGGAGTTTAAAATTTTACAATTAAATATGAAAATAGATTTTGAGATAATCCTAATAATATTTTACATCAAAATTATATGTTATAATAAAATTTGGAGGTGCACCTTAATTGGATTGTTTAAGATTGCAACCTTATGGAAACCACACCCACCTTAAAAGTATGTCTAATCAGGGTTTAAAATTCTGAATAAGCAAGAGATATTTTGACAATTAGGAACCATTTATGTAGCCTAGATCAATTGTCAAGGGATGTAAATACCAATTTGTTCCAAATTAAAACCTATGTTTTCATTAAAATCTCTTGTGCAGAGTAGAGAACCCATAATGGGCTGGCTCAGCTTAAAGTGGCCTAATCCAAATGGAAAAACAGTTTCTCCTAATCGGTTCTAAACCTGAGAAACATGTGTTTTTTTATTTGGATCTCTATTTTTGGCTTTGGGATCCAAACAAATGAGGAGATTTTGGTCATTGAGCATATACTATATACTTGCTCCCATGGGCAAAAGACCCATCTAGAAGGATTTTTTTTCAGTCTAAAATTTTGAGATCCACTTAAGAATATTGAATTTTGTGCTTTTTAACACTTAGGTCTCACGATCAAAGATTGGACAATCTCTTTTCAATAATTGGGACATTATTTTTTTCAGGCACCTACAAAGTGTGATTTGAATTTATCAGGTTAGTCTTTGATAGAGATGATACATTCCTAAAATCTGATTTGAATTCATCAGGTTAGTCTCTGATAAAGATGATACATTCCTAAAATCTTATTTAAAATTATCAGGTTAGTCTCTATGATACATTCCCAAATTCTCAAGTCACAAAAAATACTCCTAGATATGGTTTTACCACTCAAGAGTATAGAATTTTCTCAATTGGTAGTACGTCTTGTTAGATAAATCACAAAAATTCTCCTACTTCTTTTTCAGTGCACGGAGTGGTTTGAGCTTCTAGACTAGGAACCACTTGGCTTCTATGAATATTGTGGAAACCAAGCGGTCCAAGGTTCTAGACCTCAAACCAGTGCCTAGACTACAAATTTCACAGTCCAAGAGTTGATCCGAGGTTCCAAACCCCGGACCACTTGGCTTCCACAATGTTCATGCAAGCAAAGCGTTTCAAGATATCGAACCTTGGATTGGTCCCAAAGTTTCAAAAAAAACAAAAAACTAAAAAAAATAGCTAATGTTTAGAACATTAGACCAAAACAAAATTGGAAAAAATAAAAAAGCAAGAAAAAAATAGTAGTCCGATGTTTGATAAATAAAAAATAAAAAACCAAGACAAAACATCGGACTGGACGACTGGTGGACCTCCTCATAAACTTTGACAAATTTTGGACCTCCACATAATTACCGTACTTTAATACACTACGGACATAAATTTTCCAATTTAAACATTGCCCTTCCATCAGTACGTGTCCCCTTGTGTACATGATGCACACTTTCTTGGACATATTTAAAGCAGGACGACTAGAGTGGTGAAATGCTAAATAATGAATTTTGTGTGGTTTGATAAATTTCGTTATCAATAATTTTCTTATAAGTAAATACACTATCCTATTATGCATTGTTGCTTGATTGTGTTGATATCGAGAAGTTTCATTTACCAACCCCAATTAATTGGGAAAAAGCTTTGACGATGATGATTTGTTTGATTCCATTTGTTACAAGTTCAAGCATCATATTTGTGCCGATACTCCGTAGTAGTATACCTACCATGAGAATTGAGAAGAGTAAAGCAAACCTGTTAAGAATTTCCATGTGGTAGTGGTTAGGATTATAAAACAACCATCCTTCCCTCTCACTGGTGCAAATGTAAGAGATTGTATAGTTTGGACTGGCAATCTTTTAACAAATAATCCTGATCTAGGAACTGTTTGGTCCTCTGTTATTCATGGGTAAGGGCTGCTCTCTTCCCCACCTGTTTCCAAAAGGGGCAAAAATGATGTATAAATACCCTTATTAGTACATATTTCCCATCTTTAATAGATATTTAGAAATCTCCAAACAGGGTCTAAAGAACACCTAGTGGAGTTGATAGGTTAGAATTTAGTAATGGGTGAGGAGAAGTAAAGAAGTAAAATATGTTTTGGTCAAACACGTTCTTCTCAAATACAATATTTTAATATTTCATACTTCGAATCTTGATATTGGGGGAACTAGCCCTATTGAATCCTAATTCCTTTGTAAGAGCTCCTTGAGAAGAATTCAGATAGTACGGCCGCAAACATGTAAAAGAAATTATATTGACTTTCAGATCTCACATTTCCAATGAACTCAACATGCTGATTTTTTTTTCTTTCTTGGTTTAAATATTAACATGCTTGATTTCTTGCTCTAGGTACAATATGCTTCACTAATCTGTCAAACTTCACTATCTCTGATTTGGGGGGAAATCAGAAGGTTCATCATGCAATGGTAGTAGCATCTGAAAACTAAATTAACTCTCCTTTGATGTGGCCGAGGTGCTGGCGAAGCTCTCTCATGGTAGGCCGATCCTCCCGGGCCGAAGCTAGACATGCAAACCCTAGCTCACACACTGCCTCCACCCCTTGTGCACTTGCCAACATGGGATCCACCATCTCCACTATCCTCCCACTCTGTATCTTCGTCACCGCCAAGGTCGCAAGGCTCACCTCCCCATTTTCCCCTCCCCTCGCCTCCAGTGCCTTCATCCCAGTAACCAACTCCATCAAGACCACCCCAAAGCTGTACACATCACTAGCCTGAGTCAGTCTGTATGTCCTGTAGTACTCGGGGTCGACATATCCTGGTGTCCCCAGAGGTGAAGTGGTGATGTGGGTTCTCTCTACCATGTCCCTGGACAAACCCATGTCTGCCACCTTAACGGATAGGTTGGCCTCCAACAATATGTTAACCGATTTCACATCTCTGTGGACTATAAACTGAGTGTGCAGGTACTCTAGAGCACAAGCAGTCTGCTCTGCGATGTTGAGGCGGGCCTTCCAATTGAGGTGTGCCCCACGGAGAGGACCATGGAGGTGGCCTGAGAGAGTGCCATTGCTTACATACTCGTATACGAGGAGGAGGCCTTTTTGGTCCTCACAGTGGCCCAACAAAGATAGTAAGTTGGGGTGGCTTAGTTTAGACATGATGTTTATTTCGTTGCGAAAGAGGCGGGGGGTGTCGGGGTGGTGTGAGAGGAGCCGCTTCACGGCCACAACATGGCCTTGTCCTAGTATCCCTCTGTACACGCACCCGTAGCCACCGCTCCCAACCATCTCCTTCTCATCAAAGTGGTTAGTTGCTTTCTCCAGCTCTCCGTAAGTGAAAGATGAGGAAGGATCATTACTTGGAGCTTCCTTACAGTTTGGTAATGGCTTATCAGTGGTTGATGAGTCATAAGGATTAACAATCCGAGGTTGGATTTTGCAGAATCCAATCACCATGGATACTGCTAACATGGCTCCAATCATCAGACATGCACCTGAGCAGCAAAGCACGCATCAGAGAAGCGGAAGAGTGAACACATTTCTAGAATTGGTTAAGGTTTGCTTTACTAACTGTAATTCTGCTTGGTTAAGGATAGTTTTAGTGATTATAGTCAGTGATGAGTAGCTATTCATTAAAAAAAAAAAAAAATCAAAACGAAAAGCTCAAAAAAATAATGGCAAAGGATTGAGGTTAATTCTGTCAACATATAAATATTGTAAAAAAAAGTCAATCGTAATGCAGTAATTAGGAGTCAAGTGATCAATACTAAAGAAATTTCAATATGTCTACACTGTTTCATTGCATCATGTCTAACTTCGATAGATTAAACATAAGCACAAAGTAAAGCATGGTAAATCAATGGAAATCAGCATAGTGTCTTCGAAAGCAGAAAAAGGCTCTAAAATCTTTAAACTGCAATTTCTTTTCAAACATCTGCTCATTCGAAAACAGAGTTCTACTTGAGAGGTCTACAAATTTGTTTACCATTTTGCCTTTGATCTGTGCTGAGGCAATTGACTAAAACTCATAATCACTGCAAAGTGCTAACTACTGACCTTCTTAAGCTTTCTACTCTGATGCTTAAGCAGTCAAAACCAGAGTATTGCTCCATAAAAACACTTGGTTTGATGATTTAAGCATTGAACAAGGGAAGACAAGAGTTTACAAGAACTGGTCCATGGTCTCAGACCCATCTCTGAATCAATATCATTGTCTACAAAAACGTATGCTCCAGTGTTTTAAGTGCAAGTCATGGGAGACCACATACATCGGATATGCACATGTTAGATATTTTCCAAATTACAGACCATATGTGATTACCTATCACGAATGCGATGAAGCCCGTCGACCATGGTACATGCCTATGGTTCAAGTGTTGTGAAGGTGGACTATGGACTACAGCTTGGACAACAGGAGAAGGTGGTCCACGGGCATGATAGCACAAGAATGGAAGGAGGGCATCTGTGTCATTGAACCCACACATGCCATTCCCTTTCATGCACTCTATGCACTCTCTAAACCTCAGGTCGGTCCCGTTGAAGTCGAGTTCGAAACCATGGTCCATCAAATCGAGTCCTCCCGGCAAGCTCGCCATAGGCCACTCCACCACTACATTACAAAAATCACATGGAAGATTCTTTGGCGATAGAATCTCACATCCAGGTAAACTTAGATTCTTCTTCACACCAAGGGGAAGCCAAAATGGAGAAGAAGTGAGGTTAAGGATGAAGGACTTTGAAGAGCACAGGCTCTCGAAGAGGTCATCGTAGATGACAGAGAGGGATCGTGGAGTCGGAGTGCTCAGAACTCTGTACTTTTGTGTGCCTATGGTTAATTTCGAGTGTCCATTGGTGCAATCGATTTGGAAGGCAGGGTGGCCGCAACCATTGGTTGAAGAGAGGGCGAAGGGGTATGAGAAACTGGTGAAGGGGGGGCACGATGAGGCCGCCGCTTTTGAGCAAATCTCGTATGAAGCGGTGGCGGTTGAGGTGTAGACTCTAGACAGAAAGAGAGAGAGGAAGAGGAGGGGGGGGCTGAGCTTTGCTAGTGAATGAGAAAGGAATTCCATGGCTGTGCTTTGGTTGCTCTGGTAGCTAGCATGGAGGATAAAAGACAAAGAGAGAGAGAGAGAGAGAATTAATGAAAGTGGGGGAGGTTGGTTGAAGCTTATAGATGCTGGGAAAGTCATTAAAGAAAGGAGGTTCCGAGAGGTCAGTGATGTGGAAGGATGAAGACTGGGAAGGCTAACCTTTTAATGTGGATTCATGCAATTGGTATGAGCTTTTTCATTTACTTATTATCCTATTCCTATCTCAGCTGTTGAGGACTGTAGTCTCATTTTCACCCTCTTCATTCTTGCATAAATAGAATATTTAACCATACCCCATACCTCCCTGTCCATGCAGCATTAAATGTAGATTAGTGGAGAGGGCCAGATACCCCTCTCTCTCTCTCTCTCTCTCTCTACACATGAGATATGATTTATATGAGGCGGCAACAATGTCAAATTAAAGTTCCCGTGACCTACACCATCTATTTTTATTAAATAGTGTAGATTTCATCATTATTATTTGAACCTTATCTCAACTACTTAGAATTTGTTCCACGAGTCTTGTTCGGTCATTTTTCTCCGTCAAAGTCACACTCCTAATAAGACCATAAGTAGCAGTATCCTTTTTTACTATTTCCATATACCTTTCACTTAAACCAGATTGTACCGCCTAGACAATGGAGATCTCATAGTCAAAATCAGTACGACTTTTAAAACAATTCCAGACCGTCCAACTAAAATTACGATAAAGATTATTGTAACTACAACCTTACCTCTATCTTACATGAACTTTTTTAGTATATTATTTGTGTATCTTGAAATACTGCCCAACTAATCAGGAGACCCAATGCTCCAAAATATTATAGCTACAAGTCTACAACGGTAGCCTAGAATTTTACAGAGACTGCCAATTTTTTCATGGTGGGATCTAGGTCTCAAAGAGCCCAAAATCCATTTATTTTTTGACTGAAATTATTCTCAGTGATTCCAAATTGGATCTCAAAACTCCAAATCAACAAAATACTTCTTAAGCGTGTCGGCCGTGCCCGAGGGAGGAAATGAACAGTTTGATCGTGCACTCTTTGACCATGGATACTCACCTATCAACCTCAGTAAGCTGTAGCTCCCATTGCCGCTCTTCCCAATCAACTACCAAGCATGAATGTGTCATCAATAAGGCTACATCAGGGTTCAATTGAAAATCCTCCTCGCTTAAAAGAGGAAGAGTTCGAAAATAAAAAAAAGGGGGAAAAACAAAATTTCCTTTCTAATTTGCATATAGGATCCCATCAGTCATATTCAAAATTATGCATCAATTTTGTCATGTGGCGTAGATATTCTGTTTATGGAAAATTCAAGAAGAAAAATGCATGGAATTCTTTGGGAAGAAAGACCCTTAAACTAGTGCGGGTTATTTCTTGAGAGCTTTCTTTAATGTAATTGGGATGCATTTGGGGGCAAGGATGAAGGAGATGAAAAAGAAATGAAAAGAATATAGAAAGCCACCCGTAAAGATAAAGCATCGACATTATTTTAAGGGCTTGTATACTACGAGACCATTTATTTTTGATACAATGAGATCACAATCACTTTTGTCATTGAATATAAAATCAAATAAATGAAAGTGTGTCACATTCGAGAACTTTTGCACCCAAAAATAAATGGAATCGTCGTATAAAATCCCTCAATTATATCACTTCCAAACATAACGGAATTGCTGAGAAGCATGGGTTGCCCCAAGATTCCAGAGTCTCGTAATAGAAACTTTGCTTTTAGTAGACCCCCAATTCATAACTTTTAAGTATAGTTTGAATGTCCTAGCTATTTTAAATAATTATACTAGTAGTATCCAGGAAATGGAGAAATAATCTTAAAAGAGGATATCGCAGTGAAATTTGACCTGTTCTGAGATCAAATCCGACTAGGAAACAAAGAGGAAAACTCCTGGAGAAAGCATTACCTCATCACAAGTTTCCTCATTCACATTTCCATGAGGTTATTACCAAAGAATCATAATAAATCAAGTAGGTCCATGTGCAAAACCTCTGAGAATGCCAAGACAAGGAATTTCACCCCCTCTATGTGTGCTCAATGAGGAGCGTAAGCATATGATTATCCGAGGTATACAGTACTTCAAAAAACATCGATCATTTGTTCCCGATAATGTACAGTAGATATTAACTACAGATTGGGCGAATGTTCCAGCATGCCCGGCTGCAATTAATCTCCACCATCAACCACTTGGAACCAACTGAGGATGCCCCTCTGGAGCATCATTCCATATTCCATCATATCATAGTATGTACTTTTTGTGAGTATATCAAGTTTAGGCTGTCACAGCTCTGGCCTGGGGCAGCTCCTTGTAAAATCTGCTCAAACTCGTCAATGCAAGTGCCTCACCGAACAAGGAAGCGCGGGTGGATCTCAAAATTCGAACCTCCACAAAATCACCAATAACGGGTGCCCTCTTCATGCCTGAATTACTTGCATTGGTATCAGGAAGAGGTAGACTTACAAACGAAACCCTGTGGCCTCGATCACTCTTGCCTATGAGTTCAGTCTCTGGGGCTCTTTTGTTGGGTCCCTCTACCAGTACAAGCTGAATGCTTCCAATCTTTGAGTTATAGCATTGTCCCGTTGATTCACGAAAGGTATCAATGAGCTCAGTTAACCTCCTCTGCTTCACATCTTCGGGGACATCATCTGTGAAATTTCTATGCGCATGGGTCCTTTCTCTCATGCTATAGGCAAACATGAAGGCCATGTCATAACCTACAGTTCTAATAAGGCTTAATGTGTCAGCATGTTCCTCCTCTGTTTCTCCACAGAAGCCTGCAAAATTTAAGTGACAATAAGATCCAGGAGTTAAATGGATTATTTGCTCAACTAAAACCAAAAAACCAATAGAAGTATAAAATTGTTACTTGGGGCCTGTTTGGATGACAGTGAAACTCCATCACGAGTATACTATGTATATTGTATATAATGTCACTTTTTTAGTTGTTTGGCACGTACCATTATACAAGTAAATCTATCTGCTGATTGGATTAAACATAGATTCTGGCTGTTATCTCTCTCTCTCTCTC